CGCCCCGCGCATTCCTCGCGCCAGCGGAAGCGCCGCCCCGCTGTTCCGCGCACCTCGGGATTGTCGTACCCTGGACGCGGGCCTTCTCCTTCCACCCCTACCGGACTAGGAGTGGCCCAAGTGCGCCGTTCTGACCGATCTTCCTGCGCGCTTACCCGCGCTTCGTCGTGGCACCTTGCCCGACAGGCCAGGCCCCCTTCCTTCCCTTCGATTCGGAAGAGGCCCGTCAGCACCGCGGGCCTCGTTCCCGAAGCCTCGCCGCCGTCACGCGTCCCACAGGCTCCCCTTCCTTTCCGACGGTAAATTCGGAAGTGGCCCGTCAACTCCGCAAGCCTCGTCCCGGAGGCCACGACTCTGTTCCTCGCTCCACCGGCCGCCTTCTCCCGTCCCTCTCATTTCGGACGTGAAGTGGCCTCTGAGCCACGGCCTCCCGGCCGCGCGGCCCTCCCCTCCCCGTCGTCGTGCTGACGTCTTGCCCTCCCGTGCACGCTTCTGCTAACCGTCCCGCTCGTCGGGGACCCCGGTCGAGCCGCGCACATCTGGCTCACGCAAGAGTCCTAGCTCACGCCGCCCCGCCTGCCCTCACTCAAACAACAAGTTTTTAAATCAACCAAAAATTTCTGCGAGTAGGGCTTGTCTTGCGGGAGCATGCACCTCATCGCGCCCCCGCGGAACGTGGCGCGTCGCCGACGCCGGGATAGGTTGGCCAACAAGGAACTGCACAACATTTTGGCCTCACCCTCCGCGACCGCTCTGAACAAACAGCGCTCTCCCCAATCTCCCCACCCATCCCGACTGATCTGCTTGGTCGACAAGTCCAGACTCGATCAGCCTTCGAACTTCGGTTTTGACACCTCCGAGGGTGGCCGGGGTAGGCCTCACCACAAGTAAAGCCCCTGTCCGTCTGTGCGTTCCCCGATCCCCCCCCCCCTCGTGTGTCCGGAGTGCCTCTCCGGGCGTACAGAGGGCACGGCGGTCTGCACCGCGCCAGCCGGAATCCACGAGGCGGTTACGTGTTTACAAACACACGATAGCACGTCTTTGCACATGACACTCCAGACGGACACTAGGACACTTTACTCACACACAGCTCGCGATCCCTCCACGTGCACGTTGTCTCGATCAGAAAAGTACAGATGAGAGCGCGCAACACAGCCTCGTCGACACAACACTGATCACACACTGATCGACCCGGTGGTTCGCAAGCCTCGCATTCTTGCTGGCTGCTCAAATCCCCGTCGCCAAATGTTGTACCCGTGGGCGGGCCATGTTGGGGGTAAATGATAACTGTTGGTGTAACTCTGCTTCTGAGGGGGAGATGTCGACCACTACACTATAAGTATGCACAAATTTTTATGCATAATTGCATTTTTTTTTGGTCAACCCAAATTTTCGGTTGTTGCGAAAAAAAATTTAGTTTGATGTTGACTGAAAGTTATAAAAAGGTGTCAACATCTTTTGAGATTACCCAAAAATGTATACGCGTAAGGACAATGTTTTGTCAACATTTAAGATGTTTAGCAAAAAAGAGGGGAAAAAATACAAAAAGAACAAACTTGGAAGCAGTGAAGTGTGCCAATAACAGTAAGATAAATAATTATAGGCCGGTGCAAAGAACACAAAACTGAAAATATAGGGTGCTCCCCTAGAGCGCGGAGGGGAACTAAGAAGGGCAATACCCAGTGCGAACGGAATTTTAAGCGATATCGAATCGATGTCACAACGATATCGTTTTCAAGCTTCTGACTGATATGAAAATGGGCCCGAAATCGACACTTTTCTGATGTCCGAAATCGTTCTGATGTCAATTCGATATCCGCATTTCTCACTTGGTTGCGGATACAGAGAGCGGGTGGTGGGGGCGGGCGAGCTGAGGAGCTACCTACCCCTACCACCTGCCGCTCCTCCGCTCGCCCGCACCCCACTACCGTTCTCAGTATCCGCTATTGTCCTTCTTAGTTCCCCTCCGCACTCTAGAGTAGTACCCTATTGGAACACAAGTTTTAATACAATGTAAATTTTGGTATTTTTGTTTAAAAAAATCAAAGTAAACAAAACAGGGACATAAAATAATTAACAATGTCTACTATAACAACAGTGACGGGTGATTCAGCAGTTAAAGGAGAGGAAAAATATTATGCAGATTTAATCTCTCTCATATTTGTTTGCCAGATGAAAGCAGCATCATCATGCGGAATGGCTGTCAAAGGCATTTAAATTACCACGAGTATCCAAACTACCCTAGGAGCTAATTTTTTTGAAAGAAAATAGTAATTTAATGGTAATTTTAGTTAGGGCACATAGCAGTTTGCTGAACAATTAAGTGTTGTCCTTGCAACAGCTTGCTCGCGGTACGAAAAGAGGCGGCGCGTGTCAGGCTACGACTTCGATTTTTGTGTGAACTGCCAGCTGTGGTATACGTGGCCGAGCACATATGAATCGCCCACGTGTTCTGGTGTATTGAACCAATGTGAGCCAACAAAAGACCCTGCCCTGACGACGCCCATGCACTCGCGTCTTCGCTTCGATACATTCAAGTCATCTTCGTCGTCTTCGATGGTGCGCCTGAGTGACTACCTATCTTGGCTATGCGTGGAGAGCGGACGCGGACGTCTTCATCGTATTGTGTTAACCATGTTAAGAAGCAGGGTGCGTAGTATGACGAAATGCGTGTCATCCCTAATCCTGAACGCAAACTATAGCAGGAGGAATCTACAGCCAGGTTTCTTTATAAGGTACAGTTAGTTGCTTTACTAGTTCAGCCAAATTCTTATCCAACCAGGAAAAATAGTCTCTGAACACAGTCGAAACCATCGTCCAAAGACGAGAAACACGAAAGAAATTTCAAAACAGAAATCGGACTTTTCCGGCAGGACAAGAGGCTCAACCTGGGATCAAAAAAGTATTGAAATTTACAAAACAGGACGCCATTCGGTGTCACACTCCAATTTCGCTGGGAGCGAATCATCCCCGGAAGCGCCAACCCCGCCAGAAATGTTCCCTCTAAAGAACGTCGCGATGGAGCATTTTTGGCTGAGAACCGCATTAAATGCGCTTCAATGCGCATGAAATGCCGTTAAAGACCACACATTGGTGACGCTTTTAAGGCGCATCACAGCATTTAATGCGCCTTTAGTACACACCACGCCCCATTATTGCGTCATCACACTGTAAAAAATTATTGTGAAGTGACAAGAAATATCGTGACAAAACATTCATCTCGGCCTATGGAATACATGAGTTGTCACATGTGTGATAACTCCCTTGTTTTAGTGATAATGACAAATCAGTCATCACACTGTATAAAACAAATCATTCATCTGTAGACTAATGTTTTGTCACATGACTGAAGATTTGGAAGATCTTGATTACAGACCACTTGTCACTTCACAAATATGTTGTCACTTGATTGAGCAGCCGTCACGCAAACCATTGCGCGTAATAAGCCGTTGTAGCTCTCGCTGACGACTGCGCGTATTTTCCGTCGGTATATATTGCAGATTCATATTCACACGGGGCAGGGTGCGGGGAGGCAGCGGCGGAAGAAATGGTAACCCCGCTTCGTCCCCCGCCTCACCTCTCGGCCGCCGCGCTGACGCCAGCGTGCGCGCGCGCTTGGCGTGAAAACGACAAAATTCTTAACGGGATATAACAAGAGTGGATGCGCCGTGCGTTCTTTTGGCTAAGGACGCGCGAAATGACAACTCAGTAGATGGAAAATGATGCACGTGCGTGGCATTTTTAAAGCTTTCAGGTTTTTTTGCGGGATTGGGCTGCGTTCTCCAATTCTGTGTAGTACTACGTCAGTTCGAAACGATTCAGTCTGTCACGAATCCGATCTGCAACCTTAGTTCCTGCTACTCTGGCTACGCGTCTCTCGCCGTGATGAGGCAGACGCGCTTCTGGGCAATCCTGCACAAAATAAGGAGCCTAGTCCAAACTATGGAATCTTACCCAGGAGATAAGGTAAATAATTACAACGTGGATTCTTAAAAAATAGTCTCCAAATCAATGCAAGCAGGGCCTGCGATTCTGTCAAGGGTTGTTCTTAATGCACAGTAGCTCTTAGTATAAGCTCACGAGTCATAGGAAAAAAAAAACGTGAACAGCTTCGCATAAACTACGAAACGAACCCCTAATGGAGAAAATTAAATTTTATGTCCTAATGTAAATAAAGTAGTAAACATTTTAATTTAAAAAATTCAGTTGGAATTCCGTGTGGAAATTTGAGTCGTCTTTTTTGGTTGTTTAGTGCATCTGAGAATTATCGAAATTTGATCATTGGCTATTCAGTTTTACGGGGTGTAACAGTGTTGTGAGTTTGTGAGATAGATGTCGCTGTTAGCATTTTCTTGTAATTAAAACCCATTTTCATACGAAAATTATGGTCATATTAGCAAATATGAGAAGAATACATCTGCTGTTCTGCGGTTCAGCTGTCTCCCTTAAGTTGATAAGGCCTTGACGTGGTATCCGTAGATTCAGAACTTAAGTGACTGACTTTTGTCTTGTTAGGGATGGGAAGACCATACTCGGCGAGAAATTAGAAGATTCTTCGCGGGGATCATAGTCATGGCTGTGTTCATCTCCGGAAGTGTGTGGCTGAGTCTCATTTTAACCGGCACCTCTATCCTGCCACTCTGGCCATTCGTGCCGTACGCCGGGCCGTTTGGCGTGTACCTCGCGTGGCTCTTCTACGACGTCGTCAGTGTCCTCATAATCCTTGGTGCGATTTCCTTTGTGGTCACCGCCCTGGTCTGCGTCACGTGCACTGCAGCCGGCCTGCACTACGCTCTGGCTCAGCGGATCGCAACCAACGAGACTCCAGAGGTCGTCAAGGACGTAGTACTTATGCATCAGCAGCTGCGCGACGTGGCTCGGGACCTGATAACTTTATTTGACGGGAACCTGGCGCACATCATGGCCAGCTCGTTCTGTAACTCACTCTTCGCCACGATTCAGGTAAGGTATTTAGGATAAAACATAATTGAGTTTCCATACTGAAAGAAAAGGCGAATAACGGTAAAATCTCACATCTATTAAATGGCAGGTCCCTGAAATATTTAAGTTGGTCCCACAATGGAGACCCGACGCGGGCGTTGCGGGCGACACGGACGACGCGGGGCGGCGCGACACGACGTCGCCGCATCTACAGCGTCTATAGGCTGTGTCAGAGCGAAGACGTCGCGTCGCGTCGCCCTGCGTCGTCCGTGTCGCCCGCAACGCCCGCGTCGGGTCTCCATTGTGGGCACCTTTAGGAATACGGCAAACCATACTTGGGATGTGTGACACTAGTTCAACTGTTGCTGAAAAATTCCCACTGTAACAGACTGTGCTGTTTTTCAATAACTCAAGTTGCTATAAAAGTATACAGCAAATTTAGTGTTAGTTAGCATTATGATTTTAGCAGTGTGGTCTGGAGTACCTTTAGCTAGTAAGTTCGTAGAGTGTACCGAATAGCCGGATAAAATTTGACCAGAGGGTCCCTGCATACCGGCAATGCAAATTAAAGGGGAATCTTAGAGGTGACCCTCGAAACCTGGAACCCATCACCAATCATCTCAGATTTTTGTGTTATTAATGCGGCCTGAGTTTGCCAAATGAAAGTCAAAAGTTTCGCAATGCATTAAATACTTTTCAGAAATTCTGCGGGCATTCCGGTGCCATCAGTACCCATCATTTATGAGTAGGTCCGTGTATGGTCACTCAAACATGTTCATATTTTGTGAAAATATATTTATTACATTTCTATATTTAAGGTACATTTAACAAAACTTAGGCAGCATCAGAAACATCAAAATCTGAAATGTTGGGTGAGGGATGATGGGTTCCAGGTTTCATTGGAGGGCTACCTTGCGGCCACCGTAAATCATGGTCGGGCACTCTACAACAAATTGACGAAGAAAATTTTTGACTGCAATGCCCCAAAAATTAATTTCAAGCCTTTGTTTCTTTTTTAAAACGCTGGTATGGTTGTGGAACCGTTTTTTCCCCGCGACAGGTTGGGGAGTTGGTTAGATCGCTTAACGAGTAAGTACACGATTCATCTCGAGATTTATCTAGGAGCTTTGTTCAATTTTTAAAACAAAGGTTCAATCACTTTTTGGCTTAGTTGTCAGAATCCCATTGTCTATAATATTTTGCCTTTTACTGGTCACTATGTACGGTGTATTAAAATGTTTATGTTGGGACATGCGTAGGTGTTGGCCAACGACGTGACCTCCAGTACGTTTGCTCTTCTGCTTCCTGTGGTGGTGATATTTCTCCAACTTTCACACTACAGCCAGGAATTGTTCGACTCTAGCCTGAAATTGCAAAGAGCCGCTTTTCATGCTGCCACTGGTGGCACCGTGGCTTTCCTCGAGGCCCGTGCTCTTAACCTGGTGATACTTGTCGCGGGCACGCCGCCCACTCTGCACTGTAAGGGTCTTGGCCAACTGAGCCTAGCTGACGCAGGGAAAGCCTTCCGTCAGTTTTATTCGACTGTCAGCGTACTTGGCCCAAAATACTAACACATTAAGGGTAATGGCTAAAGGAGGAATATTTGTATGAGACTGTGAAAGGGAAATGGAACTATTTCTAATTTATTGTAATAAACTTATAAGCACCACCTGTATGTTGGTGTTTTAAAAGTTTCCTTCATCTCAACTCAATTTAGAGACATGATGTTTCTATCGAATCCGAAGGGTGCCCCGGGGGTCCGATAGCTAAAGGCTACAAAGTGGCAGGCAGAATGTTACTTCACACTTTTAGACATAAGGGATTCTACGCAAAAATTAGATGGTTCCTGATGTATCGACTGACAGAAGAATTGAGAAAATCAGAGTGTAATATGTCCACAGTTGAGTTTACAGTGAACACTTAATCAAGAGTAAAATTACAAGAAAATGTGATATACTCGTAATATTTATTCATAATTATATTATTACATAGAACTATATAATATACCGCACTATTAGAGTTCATTATTTAACTGTACAACTCATCACATTATGTCGTTTGAATAGCTCTATCAGTTTCAAACCGATTCGACATGGCAAGCCAATAGTTCGATTCAGCATTTTTAAATGGGGAAGTCTTGGACTCTGAAACATACTCGTAAGCGCATGGGAAAATTTTCCATTAATGTATTTTAGGTTTACAGACTAAAATCATAAGTTTGGTTAGTTTTTTCCCGCAGAAGTGTAATACTCGTATGACTCCCCAAGTAACGCTTTCGATCGAAAATTCCCATCGCTGTTTGCAGTGGTAGCTTCAGAACTGCGTTCTTCATAGATGTCAAAAACTCACAGAAGCTGGACTTGAAACCCACAGTGCATTAATCATCAAAACAGTAGACATGACCAATCAAAATCTAGTCACAGATATGTCAAACTCATTAAAACACAGGTTGTAGTAAATTTAAGGTATAGTTACTTCTTCACGCAGTGATAATATTCACACACTCAGTCACATTTTTGTTTGAAAAGGGGAATTCACAGGACGTGAATCATAAAATGCCACGTGTGACTTTGTTTTGTTTTGAGACGCTAGTTCTCTATAAAAACAAAGGCACCACGTTATACCTTTAGAAGGTGCTGCGGCATTACAGCTGTCAAAGGTTCTAACTTTTGGCACCTTTACGGCTTTATAGTGCCTTAACATAGGCATTAAACTCAAAGTATCTTTCAATTTCCTGCAAATGTGCGTCATCACACCCATGCTGTTCTAGTGTATTTTTATTTAAAATTACCATTTCTAATGGTTCAAAACTTCTGCAAAATCTCTTTGTGCGATTAAAACTGACCTAAATCACAGGGTTACCACCAAAGCTCTCTTACAACTTGGTCAACTCACATGAACTCATTCAACTCGTCCGACACAGTGAATCCAGGAGTAATCTAAAAATTCTACAGCGTGCGTTGCAAACTGTGTATACACTGTTATAACAAGTGCAATATTTCATACATATCGATGCCAAAATTACCAAAATGTGACTAACACATTTTATTGCACCTTTAGGAACAATGATTAAACTATCGCTTTAAACATACACTGCATCATTGCATGAAAGGATCAATAATGAAAGCTTAAAAAGTGCGGTAGTCTTTTTATCGCTGAAATGTGAGATCATCGCATTTGGGTGCAATGGCAAATGTTAATTCAGCGTGAATTCTTTTCCTCGCTCCCATCTGTGCAATAGAAGGTGGAAATCACATTTGGAACGTTGTTGTATTAGAATTGATGCCATCATTATACATTTAAATTAACAGTGTTAACGAGTATAAACAGTGTACATGTGCATGCCACCATTGTTGCACTGTCAAAAATTGCCGTGCCGGGTACAGTAAATTTTTTTTTAAAGGAAAAGGTCGTACACTGTGAACCGAACTGTGTACATAGTGCTTGAAAGCACACACAAGGAAGAGTGTGCCTTACATGGCGCACACTAGGAAGTGTGTACGTGCGTGGCACACTTTTCTTAGTGTCTACGCGCTACATAGCGTAGCAAATACACACTTCCAAGTGCGTGCCGTGCATGTACACACTGTGCACACTCTGTAAACTCAACAGTGTACGCTGAAAAATCAGCAATCATTGATGATTGCTGATATATCAGTGTACATGGAATGAATACTGATGTATCAGCAATCATCAATGATACGTTCAGGTTTTTGACTAATATCTCCTTCTAGACGGATATCATCGGAAAGTGGATGGCTATGAAAAAAAGCTTTCAAACGAGCTACTATTTGACAGGGTTCACTACCGGAAAGGTTCGCCTCTCGAAAATGTCGGTAATGTAAACCAAGTTATGGAAGCGGTCAATTTGAAACCTATCTTATAGAGGCTCGATTGAAAGCTCTTTTCGCGGGCAATCTGCAAAAACTATCAACTTTCTAATGTCCATCTGAAAGGAAATATTAGCCAAAAACCTAAACGTGATCATAGATTGCTGATTTATCAGCAATCATGCCATGTACCGGGTGTAAGTGTGAGTGCGCAGCAGTGCTGCGGGATTGCATACTCAATCTGGCCGCAGGGTCCATGGCCCCTTACGGGTATAAAGAGTAGGCAAACCCGCAACACTGCTGCGTATTCACAGTTACACCCGGTACGGTACACTCAAATATCAGCAATCATCAATGATTTCTGATTATTTAGCATACAATGTACACTGTTGAGTTTTCAGAGCGCACACTTCCTTGTGTGTGCTTTCAAGTACACACAA